GTGTTCTGTGGTACCTATAAGGTTCTGACACATAAGATTGGACCGCCTCCTTGTGGTGTAGTGGTTAGAGCGTTCACCCGGAGAGCGGAAGGTCGCGGGTTCGATCCCCGACCGCGTCATACCAAAAGACGTTAAAATATGGTACTTGTTGGTCCCTGCCTGGCGCTCGGCATTAATGGGTACAACAAGGACTGGTCGGCTCGGAGTCAGTATACTGTGTCTGAGTGGGCTATTCATGCTTCACTGCGGCATGGTATCTCAGTGGGCTAGCACTATAAAACCAGCTTCAGTCTCCGCTAGTACAAGCAGCCACACATATACATACACACGCATGCACGTCGTCATATGAGCGACCCAATTTCACCTCACCTCTCATAAGATTGGAGATGATGGAATATTAGTGGACGTACAAAGAAACTATATTGTTGTCAAACTGTCTTGTGTACATGGGGAGTTTTTTTTGTCACTCTACATCTTTATGGATAGATCTAAATATGAAACAGAAGATGGGCTTTCATTGGTCTCTTTTACTGACAGTAATCAGTAACGCCCTACGGACATTTTTCTGTTTGACCGTCATCGAATAATATCATCAATATACCTCTTTGTTTTAAACTCCCTAGTTTTGAATAGGGTAGAGAGCAGATTTATGAGCTTAAAAAACAACAAGGAGCCCAGAGGGTGCCAATGGGATTCTCAATTCTTGCCTATTATATCCTGTCCCCAGCATTTCACGTATTGCTTTCTCAGTGAACAGATGCCATTTGCTATAATTGTGTTAAAAATGTGCTCTTTCCCTTTGAAGATAGACCCCTGAAGGTCCGGGTTAGAATGAGCCTTCAGTTACCCATGCTTGTCGTAAGAGGCGACTAACGGGACGGGTGGTCAGGCCCGCTGACTTGGTTGACACATGACATCGGTTCCCAGTTGCGTACATCGATGCTCATGCTCTTGATCACTGGATTGTCTTGTCCAGACTCGATTCTTTACAGACCGCCGCCATATAGCTGGAATACTGCTGAGTGCGGAGTAAAACTAAACTCACTCACTTACTTAAGTTAACATACTGACCTAAAATGTGACATTAGTTGATGGATGGACAATTGATATGTCAACGAAAGTTCTGCAAAGCTGCTAAAAATTCGCTGTTAGAGTCGAAATGGCCACTAGATAACAACTTACTAGACGCCAAAGTAATTACCAACTCTCACAAGATCTCCTATCACAACTCGTAAACGTACAATATTGCTCCGTGGTATTTCACATTCCAATGCAAGCACATTTGTTCCACCAGTGTGGAAATTACATGATCATTATAAAAGCGGCGTAAAATAACATTCACCGGCTTATAAGATGTCGAGACGAAAGGACCGAATGGCACCTAATGGCTGTAACCGATGACCGAGCACATGTCCCTGTTGTCTAGACGTTGCTGTCAAGTACACGGCTATCTTCGTATATACTTCTCACAATTATTATAGAGTTTCGTCTTATATATACCTGGTAAGGGAAATGTTGTGTACAGTATACAGCCAAATTTTGAAAGTAGAATATTAGCATGATAATTCATACCAAAATAAATAAGATGACAAACACTATCAGCGTTTAAAAATGTGAAACCTTTCAGTTGGTTTCCAGTATAAGCAATAATGTGAGGTAGGTTTTAGTAATCAACAATAAGTAATCAAGTAATTAAAGTAAATAACACTCTCAAAGGCATAAAATTATACTTTTTTATCTTGGGTTTGCAAGTCAAATAATAAGCAGGCTTTCAATGTTAGAATGGCGACTGTCATCGCACATATGGTCTGAGTAGGAATGAGTGAGTTCAGTTTTACGCCGCTTTTAGCAATATTCCAACATTATCACGGCAGGGGACACCAGAAATGGGCTTCACACATTATACCCATGTGGGGAATCGAACCCGTGTCTTCGGCGTGACGAGCGAACGCTTTAACCACTAGGCTACCCCACCGCTCCAGTCTAAGTAGGAGTAAGTATTCGTTGAATGTTATTTTTTAGGCTTACATTGTTGTATTATTTGGATAAAATTTCAATATATTTCTCCGCAAACATAGTGTATAAGTTGAAGGTATTTAGGTGTTCGAACATACATGTCCTACTCATGTGTCCATAAATGTCAACAGTGAGATCATTATGTATATTTCCCTTGCTGTTTATTATAAAACATTTTGCTTTAATTAGGTGTGACACCGTCACTGTTTCTTGGTTGCAGCAATGAAGAGGACAAACTGTGTAAAGTGTGTGTGAGAGTTCAGTGTGTCCAAGTATATATCATAATATATAATATAAGGAAAGTAAATACAGACATGCAGAAACATACCTATTGACAGATACAGTGAGAAATAACGCGCTACGAGGGAGTTACGAATTTTCTGTTCCCAGTGAATTAATGGTGTTAATCCCGACTTTCCCAAGTCAAGATAATCTGTTATTCTGAGTTTTGAGCATGCTATAATGCTCGTACCTTTACTCACTGACATTTTTAATATAAACAAGACAAAAAGACATATGAAATATCAGTCCTTCATAAAAATGTCACCGAAGGCAGCCTATTGTTCAGACGTCATGAAAAGTGACGTCATGAAAAATGGATGACGTCATATCGTATATTTATCAGCAATGAAGCACTGTGACGTCATGTGGCTCGTTTTGACTAATAAGCATTGAGACTCGCTTAAATGCACATGCAGAGATCGGAACGTTATTACACATGATCATTCTACCCGTAATTGTAATATTCAAATTAGTAGAACACTGTTATGTTAAATAGTCACATTCAAAGGCTTGACACAGATGGGTAAAGGATGCCAGCTGGACTTCAAGAAGAGTTCACTCACTTACACAGTTTCAAATGCAGTGATCAGGTGACTCTTGTGTAATTGTTATTCTTTCCGCGTGTGACGAATCGCCTCCCTAATTTCCGGGATACATCAAATTTAGAAAATCGTGCAACGCGTCACACATATGACAATTATTGTAATACACGGCTCTCCACGTGTATGATGTTACATGTGTGCAAATTGACTAAAACTGGCGATAATTAAATGGACATCCGATTGTGTCCAATATGACGAGTAGCACTTCAGTCACCCGCTAGACGTCTCTAGTTGTCTGAATTCTGCCATTTTCCCTCCCACCAATACGCGTTTAACTAATTTGACTTTTTACTTTGAAAACATTTCAAGGGTATGACAATAATCCAAACTGAAGTTAACATTACAAAAAATCTGAAATGACATAACAGGCCTAATTATAAGATTGAGGGCAGCAGTTAATTCCTAAAGGGATTTCGTTTTTGACGCTAACTCATTCACAAATACGATTTACCATAATCATAATCAAATTCTTATCGCGGAGTAAAAAAGTTGACTTTTTTCATCGTGTGAGAGTGTAGCATTATTCTCAGGCATTGGTACTTGTGCGCGGACGTCGGAGAAGAAACATATAACAGTAATTAACACGTGACTCATAAATTAATATTTGGCTTGGGACAACGTGCATATCTATTGGATTTGGTTGGTTGGGTTGTTGTTTAAAGCCGCACTCAGCAATATTCCAGCTATATAGCGGCGGTCTGTAAGAAATCGAGTCTGGACCAGAAGATCCAGTGATCAAGAGCATGAGCATCGATCTACGCAACTGGGATACGATGACATGTCAACCAAGTCAGCAAGCCTGACCACCCGATCCCGTTAGTCGCTTCATACGACAAGCATGGGTTGCTGAAGACCAACTGTATAACCCGGGTCTTCACGGGTCGCATATTTATTGGAAGGACAATGTATACTATGTTTGAAATAGCTACTTACCCGATCCCTCTTGGCAGTAAATATTTCAGGCGAACCAAGATTGTACCATATACTTCCGAAGTGCGTGACATCATTATTAAATTTCACTTATCTCAATTACAAATTGGTGTTTCATACCACCATTGTTTTTTGTGGCAATGTGTGTCAGTTCTGGTTCAAAAGTAAACTATATAAATCGGTCGTAAGACGTATGTGAAGAAACAATGGCGTCAGAACCCTTAGAGTCAGAAGAAATGTCGGAAGTACGATAGTCGAAGAACCGACCATATACGTATGTGTTTAGGTTGCTGTCAGATTGTAATGATACAAGTCAAGGCAGCTGTTGAACTGAACATTCAAGTGAAAATTTGGTACAATTCAAAATTGCACGATCATTTTTGTTACCTGCGTGTCACATTTGCAAAGTCGTGCGCATGTCAGCCATTTAACGTTTGGAATGCTTTACAGAAGCATTGACTATTGTAATCAGAGCCACCTGTTGAGCAGTGTCTTATATGATACTTTTCGAAGTTTTTCTAGAAGGGGCGTGCTGGATAGCACATCGAAGTCTTTGTAGAAATCCAGCCGAAAATTGAGAAATCCAGCCACCAAAGGCAGTAATCGCTGGAATACGTCTCCACATACACTCTGTCATCCCTTGTACCGTTTCCTTTACGGAGGTTTTAAAGACTTCTTGACCGCATTCCGCTGTTTGGTGCGGCTCAGAACCTCTCAATCGCTACTGGTTAGACGTGCGCTATCGGCTAAATGATAATACTGACAGGAGGTATGAAGAACTTTTCCCTGACATTTGGAATTTGGTATTTTTACGTGACGATCGCATGGGTAAAAGGAAATAGTTTTTTCATCAAGGGCAACGAATTGTTCTTCAGAAATGAATTTGATAGGAAAACCATAATCCGATCTTACTTCCATCAGTTGTTGATGGAGTCCTTTGCGTGAACATTGAATTGGTATCATATATTTGCTCATGATATTCAGAATTGTACAATCGACACTGCTTTTCGCAAATAGTTATAATGCATGGTTTTCTGCGCAGCTGGTACAACGTCCCGTAATGATCATTTAACTTCTAATCCCCCTTGCACTTTACTTCTACACGTTCAGTGGTTGCCAGCGAGTAACTGTAATTCATTTTATGTACCGTATAATGTGCTACCCACGAGGTGAAAATGATACTGTTTGGTGGTAACGCAACAAGACATTATTCTGTACTCATGAACCTTTCTGTATACGAAACGTAAGGTAGGAACTCTTTTTTGTTTATTCCATATGTTGAGTCTCAGACTCTTATAACAAAACGTCGCCAAACGATCCCCGCCTGAAATATTACAGAGTTCTAAAACCCACCAGTGAAACTGAGTCTCAGATGACGGATCGTCCCAATCGAATCAGACATTCCATCAATGAAAAGACATATCGGCTCCGCAGTGCATTCCAATGCTATCAGCTCCGCAGTGAATGCTAGGTGGGTATCTACTGGTTGACCCCAATGTAGCGGCGTGGTGGCCCGGATGTTATCGATCTGCTCCGATAGTAGATGTTGGTCGAGTCGCCTTTGACAGATGCTGTGTTCAGACTGTCTAATAAGATTAGTGTTGTTATCCCTTGCTCTTTCTGACGAATCTAGAACGCATAACAGCTCTATTATAGCCCTAAATCTGGTATATACACAATACTAGCCTCATTACTTCTTGCTACGCTCATCAGTACGGTTTATCAGTCTCATGAGGTTTTGATGCTTGTCGAAATGTAATGATCTTCAGTTTGCGCACATTGCTTTATTTCGGAAACATCTTTGACGAGATGGTGTTAATTCTAGCTCATTATATGACAATCATACCTGTTATCTGCGATCTTGGAGGTCGACAGACAGGATGATGATGCAGGAAAAGCGCCCCCTTAACGTTATTACAGGAAAGGAACCGGCGTACTGGATGGCGAGTCTTACTGGGCATAAGTTCGGTTCATGGATCAGTTCGATACTGTGTAAGATGCTGGCCATCTGACACATGAATTATATTGTCCATTTATAGACAACCGCCAGAGAAATGTTTGGTTCGAAGCATAAATATTAAGACTGTGTTGTAAAACAAATATATTTCCAAAACATTTTACACAGTTGTCGAAATTCAAAATGAACTAACAGGAGTTCCTGGTTCATCGTTGTTTATATTATCTGGTTTGTTTACAGGTCGAGGTCGCATGGCAGCAGTACTGTTGTGTTGCATGGGGCTGTAAGTACTTGCTGTACAAGTCTGGTGCTACCAGCTGGGCAGGACATGCCTATCCTTTCGCGGACACCTGGTGTCGTCACTGATTTTCTGTGATCCACTCATATAGTTTTCAGAGCTACGAGGGGCGATCAAAAAGTATGTAGAGTCACCAAGAAAACGATACAAATGCAGTACTGTCTTTTTATGTTATATTTTTCTTCATATTATCTGTCAAGCTCAAGCAATTTGGTTTTGCTATGTTCCAGTCTCACGATTCCCATTATTTTTGACCTTATATCTTGGTACCCTAAAAAAACCCGCAAAATCTAAAATAAATGCATTAAAAAATTCAGGAAACAAAATATACAAGAAATATTTTGTGTGTTTCAGATTAATATAAGTCTCCAAGAATCACACTTAGATATTAAAGTTCATAAATAAGCAATTTGAAATTACAATCGCTTGTTAAAGTGACTCCCTCCTTCATGTTGACTGAAAGAGCTTGTTTTGGAGACACTACCCATCCCCTTTCAGGTGACGTAATCATAAGGACATAACTTATTCTAATGTTTTCACTTATTCATACATGATGCCAAGGGGTCAAACTAAACACTGAATGGTCACACAAGTATCAGCTCACAATATATTGTAAACAGTACCAGCTTGAATATTTGGACACAATGTTTTAGGAAGATTGAAAGATTTGCATAGGTGCGCACCCCTCTTTTGTTTAAATGACCATTGAAAATAAAGTGTGTACTCCCCTTCTCAATAGTGTGCATATCCCCACCCCCCACCCTCATCTCAAAAAGCTGTGTCCGCCCCAGAGTTGTTATGAAACTATTGATACCGACAAGATCTTAGCTGTACACTTGTTAGGGGTTGAATAATGTTTCTGTGACTACTTTAAAAAGACAGGTTTCTTATCTTGTTTTGTTAAGGAGACATACAATTACCTTTGAACCGATGAACAGAATGAGGTAAATGCTGTGCCATTATCTTTAACAAAATATTTCCGAAACGAACCATGTTGCGTAGAGGGCAAGAATCACAGTGTGGTCGAATCTAAGATTTGAGAATCATCTTATACCATCGGGCCACCAGTGACAAAGTTAATTAGATACACGACAGGACACCCAAACCCACTGGACACATATGCCACCCGATTCTAGAGTAAGCCCCAGAAATATTGCTCCCGACACTGCCCGTAGATAAATGCTTCGGAAAGAACTGTCACCTTGAGAATAGAGGCACCTTCTAACACACACACACACGTACACACATGTACAGCAAGCGCACACCCCCAGGCACTCCAGCCCAACGTTCGACGTCAACGTCAACACTATTTGCATATTTATACTGGATTATACTGGAAGTAGCATGGTCAAAATATCATTGATTAGAAGGAAGATTCTTGTTCTGTAGTTCTCGCTGTACTAAACTGGACGCTGGAACGTTGTTCTGTTTCCGTCACGCCGATGTGTGAGCAAGTACACTTAAGCTTCTCGCTGTACTAAACTGGACGCTGGAACGTTGTTCTGTTGCCGTCACGCCGATGTGTGAGCAAGTAGCGCTGACACCGTCCAGGACAGCATGTCAGATACAGAAGGTCAACATTGTGGACGCAATGACCAAAGTAACGTTGGTCAGTCTTCATTTGTTGCCAGTGCTTGTCATGGATGTGTCAAGTGTCACGGGAGTCAGTGATCAAAGTCTTAGTTTACAATACGCCGCTACCAGTTTGTCGGATACAAGAATATATGTCTAAACATTTGATCTGTACTGCGTTGAATCAGACCTGTGTGTGGAGCGATCAATAAATGTTGTTCTGCGCATGTCAGCTGTACTAACCCATACAGACAGACAGATTGTTTGTCTCACCTCATACAATGTACTTCGTAAAATGAAAAAACCCTAGTATATGCCAGTTACTGGTTCTAGGACATGATGTTGCACGTTTACAATGCTAAACTGTCTGAAAACTGTCACATTGAAGCAGGCTGAATTACTAATTGGACGACGCACACTAAGAACGTAAACAGTCGTGATTTGTTTCGATGTCGCACTTCGGTCGGGTACATATCATTACCTCATCGTATATCCATATTCTAACCTTTTAAAACTCTATGTAGGCAAAGACTTCTGTCTTGTGTTTTTAGTTACCCTATATAAAATCGTTTGTTAAAATAAAAATATCCTTAAGAAATAGAAACGCGAACCTATAACATTGTCAGGTAACCCTTTTTTATCTTTCACCTTCTATTTGTTTTGCCATCTGTGTCTGTATGGATGCGAATGTAAGGATTTCTGAATGTAAGGTTTTCGGGTAAATAGTATTTTGTATTTCATTTGCGTGTCGACAAGGTATAAATTACCCTCAGAACTAAAAATGCCAATCTGGAAACTCGGTCACTTCTTATCGCTAGAGCCAGGGTAAACAAAAAACAACAACGAATTATTATTATATTCTTTAGTGATACGTATCGTGTGTCCTTTATAGCAGGGGCGGATACAGCTTTTTGAGAAAGGGGGTGGGTGGGTGGTGCACAGTTAGTTTTCAGGAGAGTTTCAATGGTTATGTAATCAACTGCATCCCTGCAGTCCGCCTATGCGATACTTGCAAAGATTTTCCCAGGTACATGTGAACACATAAAACGATTCTAAATGCATTGACGTTATATTCAGTTGGAACATTTAGTGGTGAACTTCTGATTAAACCTAACGGTGCAGTACTGTGGATGTTTATCTGTTTGAGATACTATCATACATCAAACTACTCGCCACTTATATACATACGACAATGTGTAATCCCCATCCATTAAAGATAATTAAATCATATTGATTTCCAGATAACCAAACCAGCTAATTGAGTATGTTGTTATTGTTAACACAATTCAGGAAGTCGAAGCCGATATGGCCCCAACTTCGCCATATGCTGCACCTGACGTCGTTCTTGCTCATCTGACATGTCACCATTATTCCATATTGGAATTGCTTTGACAAATTTACATCCATTGTAATCGCCCGCGGTCTCGCTTGCAAACAAACTAACCAGGATGTTGAAAATCTGGACCGGATTTCGCTGGGATAAGTTATTCCCACCTGGGCCATAAACACTAACCGCTACAGGCAGTTGTAATGTGATAATATGCCCACACTACAACAATGAACTGTTTGATCTAACCGAAATCGCCCGTGATAGTGTTTCCCTGACCACAGGTTGTACTGACGCATGACATCAGCTGAACGATGTTGCGATCGTACCAAATGTATGTGTATTTAATGATGACTTGTAATGTACATATTATTACGTTTCAGTTGACATGTGTGTTAGGAAAAAAACAGTTGGAGAATGGCTTTCTATGACGATAGAGGTAAAGCGACATGAAGTGAGGTTACAAGTGGCACGAAATCATTCGGAGACGGTTTGTTCTATTCCTGTAGGGGACTCGATCCTCCAAAGTACTAACATCTGTACTTTACTAGGAAAGCGTATTTCCCAAATATAACATATGTTACATCTGACCACTTTCATAAAGTATTGGTACTCGCAAGAGCAAAGAGCCGTGCCAATTTGAAACTATCAGAGGGGCACATAAAGTACGCCATCTACACTACCTATTGTCGGGGCACACAAAGTGCGCCATCGACACTATCTATTGTCGGGCACACAAAGTAGGCCATCTACACTACCTATTGTCAGGCACACAAAGTAGGCCATCTACACTACCTATTGTCGGGCACACAAAGTACGCCATCTACACTACCTATTGTCGGGCACACAAAGTACGCCATCTACACTACCTATTGTCGGACACACAAAGTACGCCATCTACACTACCTATTGTCGGACACACAAAGTACGCCATCTACATTACCTATTGTCGGACACACAAAGTACGCCATCTACATTACCTATTGTCGGGCACACAATGTACGCCATCTACACTGCCTATTGTCGGGCACATAAAGTACGCCATCTACACTACCTATTGTCGGGCACACGAAGTAGGCCATCTACACTACCTATTGTCGGGCACACAAAGTACGCCATCTACATTACCTATTGTCGGACACACAAAGTACGCCATCTACAATACCTATTGTCGGGCACACAAAGTACGCCATCTACACTACCTATTGTCGGGCACACAAAGTACGCCATCTACACTACCTATTGTCGGGCACACAAAGTACGCCATCTACAATAATACCTATTGTACAATACCTATTGTACACAAAGTACGCCATCTACACAACCTATTGTCGGGCACACAAAGTACGCCATCGTCACAACCTATTGTCGGACACACAAAGTACGCCATCAACACAAACTATTGTCGGGCACACAAAGTACGCCATCTACACAACCTTATTGTCGGGCACACAAAGTACGCCATCTACACTACCTATTGTCGGGTCAACACACAAAGTACGCCATCTACATTACCTATTGTCGGACACACAAAGTACGCCATCTGCACTACCTATTGTCGGACACAAAAGTAAAGTACGCCATCTACAATACCTATTGTCGGGCACACAAAGTACGCCATCTACACTACCTATTGTCGGACACACAAAGTACGCCATCTACAATACCTATTGTCGGGCGCACAAACTACGCCATCTACAATACCTATTGTGGGGCACACAAAGTACGCCATCTACACTACCTATTGTCGGGTACACAAAGTACGCCATCTACACAACCTATTGTCGGGCACACAAAGTACGCCATCTACACTGCCTATTGTCGGGCACACAAAGTACGCCATCAACACAAACTATTGTCGGGCACACAAAGTACGCCATCTACACAACCTATTGTCGGGCACACAAAGTACGCCATCTACACTACCTATTGTCGGGTACACAAAGTACGCCATCTACATTACCTATTGTCGGACACACAAAGTACGCCATCTACACTACCTATTGTCGGACACACAAAGTACGCCATCTACAATACCTATTGTCGGGCACACAAAGTACGCCATCTAAGTACGCCATCTACAATACCTATTGTCGGGCACACAAAGTACGCCATCTACACTACCTATTGTCGGGCACACAAAGTGGGCCATCTACACTACCTATTGTCGGGGCACAAAGTACGCCATCTACACTACCTATTGTCGGACACACAAAGTACGCCATCTACAATACCTATTGTCGGGTACACAAAGTACGCCATCTACAATACCTATTGTCGGGCACACAAAGTACGCCATCTACAATACCTATTGTCGGGCACACAAAGTGCGCCATCTACACTACCTATTGTCGGGTACACAAAGTACGCCATCTACAGAACCTATTGGTACACAAAGTACGCCATCTACACAGCTATTGTCGGGCACACAAAGTACGCCATCTTAACTATTAATCGGGCACACAAAGTACGCCATCTACACAACGTTGTCGGGCACACAAAGTACGCCATCTACACTACCTATTGTCGGGTACTCAAAGTGCAGAGCTGCGTAATTCAGGCGTGCCAGAAATCTTTAATTGCGGGTTCGAACCCAGATTCGCCCGGATTTTGTTTATACTTTTCTCGACACTTTAACCCTGCCCGTGGGTTTCATAAAAGTGACATTACTTCGGGGTTCCCTCCCACTTCAAACACGCACGTCGTCATTTAACTGGAAAACTGACCATAACAACGCTAAACTAAACTCAACTCAGTCAACTAGTGTCAAATATAAAATCGAGAACTTTGAGTTGTTAAGGCTTTGGTGAAATTTCTGGTTAAACTATATTCATCCGTCGACGTCCACGACGATGGCGATGGGAACGGCATGCACCTAAACATGGACACAATAATGACATAGTTACATGTTTATGACCAGACTAAATACATAGACGGGTGTTTATGCAAGAATGATATCACCCACCGTGCTTGCGAATCAAACAAAACCCACATAATATAATATACTCGTATACTTTTAAAATATTTAATTTTCGAAATTCACCAAGAACATATTCAGTTTCATATGCGTTTGCGTTCATATCCATCTGCGTACATGTACACGAAATTGGCTAAATCCAAATTAATATATCAAAACTTCACAGAATCACCTCAATGAACCAAAAAAACCAGTTCACTTTGTTTTTCGATAATTACATCCATAATTAATTATCGGATACTCATAAGAGGACGTTATTTCCTCAATGAGAGTTTTAATCGCCGCCCTCCGCTGTTTAAACATCACTATCAATCAAAGCTAAATGAAGTGTATTCCTGTCGTTATTACCCCGGTTATAAAATCACTCTTCTCTGTAATCAGAAGCCAGGGTAGCTCCGTACCTAACCACAATAACAGCCTGGGCCACCCGCCATCTTTATTGGCGTGTAACATTTCCCTACCAACTTGTCCTGACCGTCTCAGCAGGTGTCGCGACAATCAGACTTGGTTGTAAATGTTTATTACCTTCCAGGTAAATTAATGAGACACAATAAGGATAAATTGTTGATATACGCCATCAACCATCGACGACATAACATTATCGAAGCATTACAGGTATTTACGCTAGAAAATTATTAATGTATTTTCAAGGGGATTTCGTTCAAAATGATATATATATATATATAGCATGAGTTCAATCAGTTTTGGGGGCGTTCTCAAAATCTATAACATCTGTACATCTTTTATGAAAAAGTATGCCTAATTATGTTTTCTTTCGGACTGTCTCGCGCTTCTCTTTCAAGATGGTTAAATATTTCAGATATATACGGACAAATAATTCAGACGCAAACTGAAACTTATGATAATTTTTTCCAAGTGTTACTAAGGCAGTGTTTCCTTTTCCGGCGGCACATTGGCCCTCCGAGGACGTAAATGGTTGTAGTTGTTGTAGTTTCGTACACCCGCACCACTGGTCAAAAGAAGTCTCTAATCGTGACCCGTTTGATCAGCGGCTCTTGGTGCTTGGTCAACTAACGCCGGTAAATACTGGTCTTTCAGGTCTAACATCAAGTCTCTGAAATGAACATATTTTACAGAAAAATATGGTCCCTAAACTTCCTAAATTTTAATCATAAAATACAATAAAAAGGATCCCAGAGACTTCCCTTTCAGAAACCTGAAACAGCATCTGATATAAACCGAGACTTGCCACATATTCTTGACAAGCATGGACTTTCTCGGATATACTTGTTTCAGGCCAGGGTCTGTATGGCGGACTAGTCCTGGCTCGATAATTCACAAAGCGCACAACATAAGTGTAATATTATTACAAGACAAATTTTATCAATAACAACTTCTTGATTTATTTTTCACAACGCTTCTGGGCTAGTTCTTGCCCCTTCTTCGGGTGGTGTAATATTATTGAATGGCATTTACACCTTTAATCAGGGGGTGGGTGGGTGGGTGCGCGCGTGCATATACATATAGAGGGGCATTGACCGGCACTGGCTTCGGAATCTCACAAAATCGAAATAGAATATCTAGATATCTGTATATCGCTATCGTATTAAAGCAGGTTTGCTTTTTACTGCCATGTAAACTTAATATATAAATAACTTGCAAAGTAGACAATGAACTGCCCAATTATATTACTTACTTGAGTATATGATTCGATTTCGGGGAAGCAAATAGGAATTAAGCTCTTTATCTCCAGCTTTAAACCCTGAAAACAGCATTATCTATTTAACTGACGGCACCTATGGTATAATAGCTTTTGCTTGAGGCATCGTAATATATTATAACGGTATATGACCAAGAATCTGTATCAAGGGCAAAACCCACATTACTTGAATATCATCCTACGCTCTAATTTCATAAAAACTTTCTTACAGGATGTCTTAACTTTTAACTTTCTTTACGTCAGAGATGAACTTGCGGATGGGAAGTGTATGTGAAAAAACGATGAAAATACGCTAACTGCATTATTCAGTAAACTGTTCGCATGAAACACAGCATCTCGCTGGCCCCATGGCGTAAGTCGCGCGACTACTGCTACAATGACCGGCTATTCACGGGAATACCCGATAGCTATTTGCACCTTCGTACTCAAACTCGTGTATTTTCCTGTCGCAAATTTAGGCAAAACGAGCGAGCCGGAAGAGCCCAGCGAAGTTGTCTCCGCCTAATTTCCTCTTTTTGCCGCCAGGGGGATTCAATTGCCTGGTTATCCTTTGTTACCGGACGATGACTTTAGCTTGGTTGGAGCGGCTTCGCTTCTTCAACTGCGCTAAACGTCTTCCACCGCGAACAATATGCTGCTCCGGTTAGTGTGCAAGGCTGCCATGTGTATTGAGCTCCAGCTCTCGACTTGGGAGATGAGAATTAAATTGAGTCACAGTGCCAGAGAATACGCGGTGAATAGAAACCGGGGCCGAGGAGTCATTAGGGATCTCGGGGGTAATCCCTCCTTACCATTACTTCATTTGCCGTGTGTAATTTCCTCAACGATGAAATTTGTACGAACACTTGAGGTAATTTTCTGAATCAGCGAACTAATTTGGTCGAAAAATATTTTGTCAATTACACATTGTTCAGCTCGGAGGATGATTTTCTGCCTTCGTGGCCCTATGATGCCGTGTTTACACATGACTTGCGGAAGAAAATTCCTCATAACATGACCCCGCACTTTTGATCTCTCTGTAAGCTTGGTAATGACGGACTTAGGGGAACGACCATTGTTTGGCGCGGCCGGGGACACCCGTCTTCGAGATTAAGGTTTCAATTCATGGTTTTCTTTCCAAGACATGGTTTGGCGATAATTAAGTTTGCCGAAAGAGTTACTAAATCTCGGCTGACTTTTCATAGGATTTAGCCACGTTTCTATAAGGCTATAGGGAGGACCCGCGTGGTGACCATGAGATCCGTCCGTTTGTCCACCTAATCACGCAATTTGAGAGAATTTGACTCGTTTGAGGACGCCGATGAGTCAATTTGAATTAATTTTGCAATCATGAAGTTTTAAGTCGCAAATAAAATAGATTTTGATTAGATCTGCAGTCTTACTGGAGGTAATCAGCGCAGGGAAGATCACATCAAAGTTTGTGTTTGATTGGGGATACAGACTTGAGGCTCCGCACGCGGATCAATCAACACTCATCACGGGGGTATTTGCTAAACTTTCAATTGAATATTTTGGGTTGGGGAATTTGTGATAATGAAATAGTGTAGTATCGTCTGACGCCGTCGACCACGTCTGCAACGTCTCCATCTCCAATATACTAAATAGTAATAATATCAAAATGGAGGTGTGTGCAATACATGATAAATATGACATATAGCTATTGGTGTACTTAACTGCTAAAAAATGTCACTTCCGCTTCTTTAAGCACTATCATGAAGATAAATAAAGCGATTTTTAATATAAACAAATAAATTAATAAAATAAAAACCGGTTAAGATGATTAGGCGTTACATTTTTGAAGTGATACTTTCTTAACTTAAATTTTAAAGTCTTTTAACAAACAATACACAAAACATCACCCTTAGAAAATTTGATAATTTATTTTGAAGTGTTCAGACACAGGTAATACCACAGGAAGGGTTTGAAAACTGCAATATCATCAATATGGCTTATTTTGGTATTATCATAGACTTTGTTTGAATGTGTTTAACACTTCCAGCAGTGTTTGCTCACATTGTCGACAGACATTTTGTATGACTCGTAAAGCTGAAAGTGTATGTTCTATTGAATTGTGCCAAACTATTTTGCGTGAATTAAATGTGTGAAATTCACACCTGTTGGTTTGGTGTGCTGAAAGCGGCGTCGTCAGCGTTTATCATATCCGACTCTGCAACTCTGCAACCAGAACACATCCCCACGTGCATCTTCATCAGTAAATACCGAGGGGAATCCATCGCCACACAGAACATGATTGATGCCATCCCCACCAGGATACAGACTTATTAAGAAACATAAACAAGAGAGTCGGTATTTTGTATGCGCTGGATATTTTTAAAGTAAGTTTTGCTGTAGATAAACAATGGTTGATGTTATGAATAACGGGCAGCGACATCGGGTAACGATGACCTATCCTTAAAAGCAGACATTGTATTCTCTCTGTTTCATCGTCTCCCCCTCACGGCATACATTTGGTACTAGTAGACCCGAAATGGAATGGAGTATATTTGCCAGGTGGGTTTGGGGATGTTCACTTACAAATACGTTCATATGTCCATGTGTTAAACTACCAGGCAAAAGAAAATATACGCTTGGAATTAACAAAGAAATCTATCAAAACAATTAAAATGTTCAAAACTGAAAACATAATGTCGAAAAAAGCAACAACTATGATACCTTGTCAGTACCCATCCATTGAATGACCATTTCTTCTTTGTGTTTCAAAGAGTTCATTCTTTCTTTAGCTCTTCAGGTTATATTAAAGGCAAAAAGAATTCATTAATCGTGAGAAATGTCTGCCCAAACAGAATCCATTTTACGATTCCAACAATATCATCAACACGGAACCAAGTTTTATGACATTGTGAATAAACAAGACAAGACCCCTTCCACTGCCACAAAAATTACTCTAAATGCGAAGAGTCGACTATATCTGAGTCCGAGTGTATCATGAGCATTCGTTCATGAATAACTATCAAACATCGACGACACCGGGTGTTCCCGAAAAGGTGAGCGCATCCTGCTTCATCGGAGTAATCTTATGGAGTTAACGAGATCTATCTGTTTCATCAACAAGGCAGATACTGGTTGGTTTTGTCGTTCACGTAAATATGACGTGTTATAGCATGGTGTACACAATCTGCTTCTACATAGAGATACATGTACACATGCATCACATATGCACTCATGCACATTTAGAACTGCAAAGATTTGCGTGAATTCCTACGCCAGGCCAAAACACTACTGACCTACCCGATCACACCTGTTAGATTATATATAACAACTGATTCTTTGACTCTTACTTAAAGAGGATTTACATAAAATAAAATATTATGATACATTATGTGTTATATGTTTACTGAAAAACTGGCTTTGTACAATATCAGTGAAGTTCTTGAAAGGCATTAAGAAGTTAGACGAACATGAATTCGTGACACGCTGTATAGATAACAACTTCTTTTTATTCTTTATACGACGTTTCAGACCAAATTAGCTCTTTCACTTGAATTCACCGCAAGAATTAGCTCTGAAACGTCGTATAATGAACAAAATGAAGTTGTTATCTATAAAGCGTGTCAGAAACTCAAAAACAGTGTATACATTCAGTACACCAGTATGCTTTCGATTTGTCAATATGTTGAATTGTAAAGTAAGTGTTAAGTCTAATTCAGAATCATACGTATATGCTTTGAGTCTATATTCAAAGTAAAAGCCATCAAAATACTTTGAGAATACGTGAAACGCCATGCTATTGTTAATGCTTTTAATGCATGCCTAAAGTCCTACCTTTGGTTTGAGTGTACTTTCAAACTTATATTGGTTTATGCGTTGAGGGTAACTTGAAACTCATGCTGCTATATATGCTTTGTGTGTGTCGTGTGCCTTCATATGCATTCTCATACACGTGCTTGTAGTGTACATTCAAAGCTATGTTCTTGTATGTGCTTTGACGTATACGTCTCTGCCAGAAGCAGATTACATTGTGCGATTACACTGTAAGCATGTGTTTATGAATCTCTGTCACATAGTGATGACATCAAAGGTTCCTGTAATTTGTAAACGTCACAAACACATGCAAAGGCAAGGGAATGACCTGGAATTAATTTGTTGCAGTGGCTCCAAATAACCTGTATGTTTTGACGAAGCTACATGGCGAAACTTTCCGACACATCAAAACAAGCACCCGAGTGAAAGAATATCATACTTCCATTCAGTCATGTCTAATCACACCAAATCAAACCCCAATCACCAAATAAACTGGACTGACATCACCATTCTCGCAAACAATCAAACTGACTTCAGCAAACGCAAAATCACCGAGGCCACTTACAACAAAAGCCAAAAGCCGACCATCAACCAAGGTCAAAGGACATTTCATCCCATCATCTTCTGATGCACTCCTGAACCAAACCCAATCAGCTGTGTAAAAATCTTCTTTCTAAACTATTCCCTTGATTTGTACATCTTTTGCTTCCATTTCACATCCCTTTGTTAATTCTATCAACTAGCTAATTATGCCAATTATGTTGTTCTGTTTGTTATACTCTGTATATGAACATCCCCTGTTCTACATATTTCATTCCTTCTTGAAAACGGTACAAAAATCTGTATCGAAACGTCGGACTCACGAAATACGTTAAGTATAAAATGTGTCAGTATTGTACTTCCAACTTTTAAAATGCCACCCAAAGAAGTAAATTAAACAATGTCTTTGCAATGGGTGTACACAGAAATGGACAATTTGTGAATACCTTCAAAAGCATATTATAGCTCTGTATATATACCATTCAAAAAAGTATGGGATATTCCATTTTGCGAGCATACCTCTAACTGTCAAATATAGCTGTGTTTTGGACCTTCAGTGTGCAGTGTTTCGCGTACTGTGTTCGGGCTGGTAACGTTTGTACAAATATAGTCCAATCTAGTTTACAACTGTATAATATGTTTATACATAGAGTTTACGTTCAAAGACATCTATGTGCTTTATAGTGGACAGAAAAATGCATAATCTTGTTTTTGTTTTGAGTACATATCTAAATGCAATTTTTTTATTGTTATCTAATGTTCGTATGTTCATGCAATGACGTTTTTCTATGACATCTTCGTACATATGCTTGTAGTGTAAGGGCCTTGCACCAACACATGGCGGGCTTAAAAGCAGCCATGCAGTAAAATGTATGCTCTCGATTTATACGGGATTAGTTCATTACAACTTGTTTGAGTGGCATTTAACACAATATTTATTTTCTTTAACATAATATGAGCGACGTTTCGGTGTAGCTACTAACACCGTTATCAAGCAAATCATTTGCTTGATACCGGTGTTAGTAGCTACACAGAAACGTCGCTCATATTATATTAAAGAAGTTGTATATCCATAGAACTCTCCTCGTTGTTAGCTCATTATACATAAAGAATATAGTAGATAAAATTATTGTGATGATGGAAATATTTTTGTTACTTTTTAAGTATGTGTAAAACTTTTTGACTTACGCACATTATTACATAACTCCAAATGCAGAGAGACTAAGTCATGAAACATGCGATGAAAAATATAAACATTTGCAGAAGCATTTCAAGAGAGTACACCTGTACTAACAGAAATTTGCTCACAATAAAAATGGATACAGAAATAGCAAATGAAAGATATTTGATAGAATAATTTACAAATATGATGTAGAATATCATTTGAAAAATTGTTTTCATTTGATTATTTTCTCTTTCCCTATGATATATAATGCTCCTTAACACATGTGCATGACATTACCAGATGGATATGTTTTTAATGTCTAAACCTAATCAAATGATCAACAGTGCCATTGAGTTGAATCTATATTTAGATTGTGTCATTAACCACGGAATCACAGAATGTAATTCATCCTCGTGTAGGAAAAGATATATAATTTTGATATTGTAACATATCTTTATGGTATCAGTAATTTTTGTAAGATGTGAGGTGGTGGCAAATATTTCTTTATATAATCATATGCAGTGAAATGTACACTAAGATCAAATTTCTTGTCTGACTCATAACTATACTGTATATTTGTTGAGAGGAAATGGGTATCTGTTGAAATGTCTTCCACGTTACAAACCCTCTTGGAAGTCCTCATGCGATATTATGATCACACGTAAATACAAAATAACCTCCTGGGTTCTAGTCAAGAAATGTATAAAATCCTAAATTCATTTCCATTTCGACTAAAACAAATCTATTCTAAATATGTACTTGATGTTGCCACAAAATGAGGTTTGACATAGGTTATCAAGTCGTCCAAACACTATTTAAACCAAAATACTAAAATCTTATGTATGTTATTACTTTTCTATGACTAAGGCTGAACACCCCATCCGCATGTGATGATATGAAAGTTAAATGCTATTTTAAGCGAAACTATCAACAGTGAATAATGTCCGCGTATGCTTAGCTTCTGTAGTGAAATGTGAATTCGATTCAGTATTTGTTAAACTACGCAGTATGCAATAAAATATTTTGACAGATAGATTCAGTAATAAAGATAGATATATGTTATAATGTGAATCTAAGATTTATCGAAGTAATATAGGTGCGAACAATGCCAATATAAATAGGTTTCCTCATCTTATCTGTTTACCTGATGGATTAAAACAATCGGCGTCCTATCTGAGACTGTACACAGACATTCAAAATGAGGGCAACCAATCTCCACCAGAAAAGGGATGATTTTGATTTACCAATCGTGTTTTCATATTACGTCAACCAATATACTATCAGCCCCAGCTTACAACCTCTATATTTCTTCGGCGACTAACGGGGTCGCGTTGTCAGGTTCGCTAACTTGGTTGACACATGTCATCATATCCCAGTACGTAGATGTATGCTCATGTTGTTGATCACTGGATTATCTGGCCCAGACTAGATTATTTACAGACCGCCGCCATATAGCTGGAATATTGCTGAGTGCGGCGTTAAACAACAAACAGCAAACTATATTTCTCCGTTGCTTTTTGTATTTTAAAGACACCCGGTGTCATTTCACAGTTATAATTATTTGAATTGAAAACTCTTAGAACTTCCTCTTTGACAAGGTAGAAAACATTTAATGCCAGTTTTAAATCTATGTTAGTACGTGTTACAATCTTAACACTCATTTTGCACAAGATAATCTTCAATTCAAGATAGTCTTCTCTCGTAAGAAGGGGCGGTGGGGTTGCCTAATGGTTAAGACGAGAAGACCCGGAGTCGATTCCCCATATGGGTACAATGTGTGAAGCCCATTTCTGGTGTCCCCAGCGGTTATATTGCTGGAATATTGCTAAAAGCGGCGTAAAACTTAACTCACTCACTCACTCTCTTATAAGACTATTCCCACACAGACACAATGCTCTAAACTAGTGTTTATGAGCTTAGTGGTGTTCATACTTAACTTTACATTTTTACAATAAAGAATGATTAACATTAATGTTAGAGATGTTTATGGGTATAATCAGTCACTTAAAATATTTATTAAGAATATATTGTCAGCCTGGATGGATCCTCGCATATTTTGAACATAAAGACATTGGAATAATGGCATCCAACAAAAAAATGCACATTGATTATTTTCTCTTGTAACGCGCTTAGTCTGAGCCTCTGCGCAATACTTAGGTGCATAATTGACAACGAAAATTACATTACCTGTCACAATATTTGAAACGATATAGCAAGATGCCAATTTTATTGATGTTCAAAACAGACAATTTGTATCAAAGTGAATAAAATGCTAGTGCATACAATTATGTCTGATATAAAGGAATCAAGTAAGTTCATACAAGGATCTATGAAAGTTACCCCTATAACCATTACGTATCGCACTTATCAGTGTTATCCTTGTCCAGTATGTATATATTTATTTATATTATTTTCTTACATTGAGTAAGATTCAATACATTACCAACATAGTCATTATGCCATTATAATCTTTACTTCGTATTACTCAATATATATCATATCAAACCATTTTCAAGCAATCACTCTACTTTCAAATCTCGTTGTAAAGTATGGTATAGCATAGCTGTGTGTCAGTTTAGGGCTATTAAGTAATTTCTGTTGGTTTGGAGGGCGGGATGCAAAATATGGTGTCGTTTAGGTGATGTGAATTCACGGTAACGTAATTCTAGACGAGATGCGGTTTTGACTGTGGTTTTGTTTGCAGCTGATCTGAAGCAAATTGCAGTAAAGTCTCCAACATAACATGGCTTCGGTGGACGGTCTTGTAGAAATATTTACAAGATTGTGGTGATAATATGCAATAAATGCAGTCATTTAACTGTTAATAAGTAAAGTCATATGTTAGTGTTGCCATCAAAATCCGACACGTATGAATTCTTTGTTTAACTCGGGGGCGGTGGGGTAGCCTAGTGGTTAAAACGTTGGCTCGTCACGCCGAAGACCCGGGTTCGAATCTCCACATGGGTACAATGTGTGAAGCCCATGTCTGGTGTTCCCCGCCGTGATGTTGCTGGAATATTGCTAAAAGCGGCGTAAAACCAAACTCAGTCAGTCAGTTGTTTAACTCGGGGCTATGCAATATTGCAGCAATATAAAGGTGTATGTAATAATCCTGTCTGAAGAGATAAAACCAATGACTGACATCCTTGTAACCAGCTGTGATTCGATGGGTGCATCAAAACCCCATCTCGTAAGCCGTTTCTGAAGACACACCTCTTACGACAAGCATGGGATGCGCAAGACCAATTCAACCCTAGGTCGTCATGGCTTGTACCACGTGTCTGTTTGTTTGTTGTTTAACGCCGCACTCAGCAATATTCCAGATATATGACGGCGGTCTGTAAACAATGGAGTCAAAACCAGAAAATCCAGTGATTGACATCATGAGCATCGATCTACGTAATTGGGATACGAAGCCATGTGTCAACAAAGTCAGCGAACCTGACAACCCGATCCCGTTAGTCGCCTCGTACGACAGGCATGGGTTACTGAAGACCAATTCTAACCCGGATCTTCACGGGTCTGGCACCATGTGATTAACTGTTACAAAAACAAACAATTATACTACTATTATTTGTATAGCGCCAATATCCAGCTCAGCTGCTCAAAGGCGCTTTGTTTTTCCCTCGACAATCGGATGTCAGTCATCGTATTAACAATCTCAACTCCCTGGGGATCATACAACAAACAACAGTGTGATGCTGATCTCTGAAAGTGGTGTATGTACGTCAGTATGGTAAGTACTATAACCTTGAACACAACGTCCCCTTCAATCTCACCTCCCCCACCAAATTAGTTCGGCTCGGCTCGGCGGTTAGACTGAAGGCATGTCAATTTACCTCTACGGCATGGGTCGATGCTCACAATATCACTCACTGGATTTGTTTCCAGACTCGATTATTAATAGGCCTCGTCCAAATGCTTGGAATAATACTCAATGCAACGTTAAACAACGCGCTTACACACGCACATTCAAAAGGAGATCGGGTGGCCATGCTTGTTTCGTTAGCGGACTACACGTTTTCATACCCACATATGCCTCGAGATAGCATGGTTCAGACACAATTACTTTCGCCTTGATATGGATTCAGTGCTACTGCGGCAACAAACAGCATTCATTCACTCATGTCTGGAAGGCCTCTGATTGTTTGGGGAAAACAGGACGTGGGTATGTTTCATTTAGTTTTGAATACCAGTAATTATTGCAGCACTTCATTTTGAAACAGTTAATGCCATAATGCTGTAAGTCATGCCGATGTTTTGCAATACGTGATAGGTAGTGTGGTTGGTTAGGTGCTTGATTGATTGGCTGGTAATAGTGTGATGGGTGTGATACTATCAAGGTAAGGGGAAATCTGATTTGTAATGCGGATGAGGTACGTCATTACGTTATAATCAATAACCAGTTTCGGTGTAAGGCCGTCGATTAAGTAAGTGTTAACTCAGTTATAACCAAGCAGTAAGGGTATACCTGTCCACATTAGTATCATTAACATTGTAAAGCCGTCACTTACCGCGTTAGGATACTGATAACGATAAAATGAACTATGCTTCGATGATGCCGAAAATGAACCTTTCAAAAACGTTGGAAGCTGTGTAGGTTGAAAGAGGATTAGACGTTGGTGAACAAAATGTGTTTTGAAATCTTAATTTATTCAATTATATATTATTCTAAAAATATTCGATTTCCTGGGTCTGGATATTCCGAATAGTGTATATAGTGTACGTGAATATATAGTGCGTGTACTAAGAGTTAAAGTACATCTCACTTGCCGCATATCCTTGCATAAGTTTGTACAAGGGTTTAAGGGCAAGTGTACAAGGGTTAAAATACATCTTGCCACGCATCCCTTGTATTGGGTGTGTACTAAGAGTTAAAGTGCATTTCACTTGCCACGCATCCCTTGTATTGTGTGTGTACTAAGGGTTAAAGTACATCTCACTTGCCACGCATCCCTGGTATTGTGTGTGTACTAAGAGTTAAAGTACATCTCACTTCCCACGCATCCCTTATGTTGCGTGTGTACTAAGGGTTAAAGTACATCTCACTTGCCACGCATCCCTTGTATTGTGTGTGTACTAAGGGTTCAAGTAAATCTCACTTGACACTCATCCCATATATTGTGTGTGTACTAAGAGTTAAAGTACATCTCACTTCCCACGCATCCCGTATGTTGCGTGTGTACTAAGGGTTAAAGTACATCTCACTTGCCACGCATCCCTTGTATTTTGTGTGTACTAAGGGTTAAAGAACATCTCACTTGCCACTCATCCCTTATGTAGCGTGTGTACTAAGGGTTTAAGTAAATCTAACTTGCCACTCATCCCTGGTATTGTTTGTGTACTAAGGGTTAAAGTACGTCTCACTTGCCACTCATCCTCTATGTTGCGTGTGTACTAAGGGTTTAAGTAAATCTAACTTGCCACTCATCCAATGTATTGTGTGTGTACTAAGGGTTAAAGGACATCTCACTTGCCACTCATCCCTTATGTTGCGTGTGTACTAAGGGTTTAAGTAAATCTCACTTGACACTCATCCCTGGTATTGTGTGTGTACTAAGGGTTAAAGTACATCTCACTTGCCACGCATCCCTTATGTATTGTACTAAGGGTTAAAGTACATCTCACTTGCCAAGTACATCTCATGCCACCATTATATTGTGTGTGTACTAAGGGTTAAAGTACATCTACATCTCATCCTTTGTACTGTGTGTACTAAGGGTTAAAGTACATCATGCCCCATGTCTTATTGTGTGTGTACTAAGGGTTAAAGTACATCTCACTTGCCACACATCCCATGTATTGTGTGTGTGTACTAAGGGTTAAAGTACATCTCACTTGCCACGCATCCCATGTATTTGTGTGTGTACTAAGGGTTAAAGTACATCTCACTTGCCACTCATCCTTGTATTGTGTGTGTGTGTACATCTCACTAGGGTTAAAGTACATCTCACTTGCCACGCATCCCATGTATTGTGTGTGTACTAAGGGTTAAAGTACATCTCACTTGCCACGCATCCCATGTATTGTGTGTGTACTAAGGGTTAAAGTACATCTCACTTGCCACGCATCCCATGTATTGTGTGTGTACTAAGGGTTAAAGTACATCTCACTTGACACTCATCCCTTGTATTGTGTGTACTAAGGGTTAAAGTACATCTCACTTGCCACGCATCCCTTGTATTGTGTGTGTCTACTATTATATCATCTGCCTGCTCTTCGACTTGCACTAGTATGCAAATGACAGCTTAGAGAAAACAAAGTTGTCCCTTTCGCTCCCATGGTAATGGTGCTCGTCAGACATTGGAATAACTTCCAGCCGTATCACACAGTAAGGGAGTTTTGAGATGTAAAACACAAAAGGCATCTGTTGTCTGCAGCTCGACTGGCAGCAAACTGTGGCCATTCAGGTTGTGTAATATAAGCCACCACCAGGTCAACAGATTAGTCCCAGACACCTGCTACAAATTGTACAACATACACACAGTCCGAACTTCAAGTAACTCGATGTTCGATACTTCGATACTGAGTTATGTCACAATACATCCCATACATCACACCCCATTTGAAGTTATCGTTATATATATTATAAAAGCTACGACCCCTTTATAAACATTTGTATCGAAACTCTGCATGTGTCGAACTATAAGTAACTCGATGCATGTTCGACAGAAGCTTGACATACCCACCTATTAGGAATTGTGAAAATGATCGAGGTCATCTGGATTGGCTTTCAAGACGGTTTGAGCACCCTCTTTGCATACTGGGTTCGATTCTCAAATGGGTTCTACACGTGCAGCCTGTACTTAATGACGTCACAAGATAATATAACTGGTATATTGCTAATAGAGGTGCTAAGTTACTCTCATGCTAACTAGCACAGCAGAATGAGATAAACAATGAAATTCACTTGATCATATGACGATTAACCATTCACTGTCTATTCTCTACATTATTGTAACTATCAAACTCAATGAAGGTTAGTTATAGTAAAGTGATGACGTATTCAATGTTAAGACAGTCCTTTTGGTTTTACGCCGCTTTGAGCAATATCAAGGACGGGCATAGTAAATGAGCTTCACATTCCGACCCGAATGTGTTCGCTCCCGCTTTATGGGAGTACGTAATGTAAATCCTCAACCGCTCTACGTTGCTGGCTGATTTCACAAAACACTACCCGAAAATGGTTTCTATTTCGATTATTTTATTCAAAACAAAACATTATTTCAACATGTCAACAATCATTACAACATTTGAACGTACATATACACTTTGTAAGTATACAAAATTGCCACAAGTAATAAATAAAAATATAAATTAAATTGCTGACATAAACGATTGCACCAAAATGTCATGGCTTAAACAAATGCACCAAGACTGCATGACATGACAGCATGTCAGTTTATTGCACTAGCACTACAACATAAGAAAAGAAGCAAAGATAACGAGGAGGTATGCAATAAACACAAATGTTACTTATGCTGATTCAGGGCAGGTAAAATAATCATATTATAACACTGATGTATTGACAACTATTATTAAATTCATATAATCTTAGAATACATGAATGCCTACCTTTGGCATAATGGATCAACGATCATGTTATTTATATAATAATAGTTATATTGTTTGAAGTCGCTCGCAAAACAAATAATTTCAATGGTTTTAAACCTTGTTCGCATCAGTGATAGAAACTGTCGACAAAGGAAAGTGTTCACCCATGTTGTATATTGTGGTGAAACATAAAACAAACATGAACAGGTGATTCGAATTTGTGTAAGTTGTGTAACGATTTGTAGTTTGTATTTTGTCACATCCTGTTTTCACGTGCCTACGTTCTTTTGTTTGTCAGTTTCTTTCGGTATAATAAAATGAATACAATCTCAATGATGTTCTAAATGATTTTTGTCCTCTGTATATCCTCATCGTGATCATTTAATAGCGGAAATATATATGAGTTCTTTGAAATGTCATAACCTCTTATGTCCAAATAGTATTATCAAATGATTAAGTGAGTGAGTTTAATTTTACGCCGCACTCAGCAATATTCCAGCTATATGGCGGCGGTCTGTAAATAATCGAGTCTGGGCCAGACAATCCCGTGATCAACAGCTTGAGCATCGATCTACGCAATTTGTATTATCAAATGATTAGACTAACAAACAAAAAGAATGAAATATCACAGAGACGATGCGTATTAATACAAAAATATGAAAATCATAATAAACGCTGTTACGATAGAAGGATAATTGTGAAAAAAATCATATTTCCATTTTCTTGCCAACATTTACACGAAGCAAAAAGCGTTCCCCATCCGTAATATATCGTTGTAAACATAACGGTAATCGTCGTACATACACACAAACGCGTCATATTTACACTGACAAGTTCACATTCAGACAATATCTTTATATTCATATGTGATCAGTCATGGGCTCAGAGGGTTCAAATAATACATTAAAGACTTCTCTTTCTCCATGTGTATAGATCATGTCATTTGGCATGATATGTATTTACATATGTGGATCAACTAGTGTAACATGTATGATTATTGGCCTGAATAATCAGTATATACAAAACAGCACTATTTTTGATAGTTCATGACGCCATCTTGGCCACGTGATGACATCTGAACTTCCGGTCACATGATATGTCCACTTCTTTATAAGACGTCCTTCCGCCCACATGGTAAAATGACCTTGATTCTTTGGCTTCGTATGCAGAATAACACAATGTCCATTACGTTAGAGGTTGAAATATTCTTAATTTATGATACATGGTGATCATAATTATTTTACAATGTTATCTTGATATGGTGTAATGACTGGATGGGTGATTACTCTGGTTTAAACAGTCGGTCGGTTGAACTGGCAACCATGGCTTCTGCATGCTCACGTGCACGCCGCCTCAGTTCTGCGACAGATGAGTTCCGGTGCTCGTGCATTCCTAGAAATGGTGGCCAGGTTGGTCGAGACGGGTTGGAACACAGGCAAAATGGCATACAACCTGGAAACAAAAACATCCTTGTGAGTTAATATATCGAGACATGGAATCTATTACGCAAAACTGAAAAAGTATACAACAATGTCATATCTGTATATAATGAAAACAATGTAGAAAATGTGAATGCACAATATAGAGCCACTCATTCTGATATATATATATGCGTTTTGAAATAATAAGGATAACCTATATAAATATGAATTTGCTCTTCGTCTGGCCTTTGGTATTCCCAATCATATAATATACGTACAAAATCTATAAATTTTGGGGAACATATGGAAATATTAGGTGAATGCGAAATATAGATCCACATACTGTAATAAAATTAATATGTGTTATGACAAAAACTAAGATTGGACGATACAAACATCAAAAAGCTCTATCGGTTCTAGTTTTGGGTGTTCAGTTCAGTTCTGTTTGGGAACATAGATGTATATTATACAACTAGGTTACATTGCAAATGCATCGTGGAAAGCATTACATTATAAACATACTACCATATACTTTGACAGATGGAATAGGTTTTGAAGTCTTTGACAATTAATTATAGAAATCATATCGTTGATTAGGTTGTTTATTAAAACGTAACAAGCGGTACGTGCATCGGCAGACAAAGGACATACACACACAACGTGTTTTACATCTATTGGACATTTACAGTGCAAGTAGAGAGAGCCTAAACCATAATAACATTTACGTACTTTTAAACACCAAATTATTTGATTATAATATAATAAATAATAACACATAAAAATAAAATATCAAAATAAGATCCATTCAATTTATTATTTATATGTTTCATGAAATAGTTGAGATTGACCGATAAAAACATCAAAAGCGCCATGGGTTTTGGCCATTGGTGTCAACAATTATTTCCGTGACGTTGAAGTGCTTTGAAGATATTGAAAAACTACTATCTTGTCTTGTTCAAGTTTTTTAACGGGATATTATAAAAAGTCACCCCATGGTTGATTCAGAATCAGATAAAAACTACATCCGTGGCACTTATAGTCTGATGACAAGTATTCTCACTAACTCAATAAATTGATGTCATTTGTCAACATGGAACTTTAAGGCATCAGAGCATTAATGGCCCTTTGAAACAATTTATCGAGGCATATGTTCAAAGTAACTTCATGTCATAATCGTAACTGCTGCAGGTTCTGTCACAACATGGTAAACTGTGGTAAATGAATGTTTGATGTGTCAATCTCTATCGGAGGCTGGAGTGTCTGTCTTGTATCAAACACAGGTAACAGGGTCAGGGGGACCCGTGGTAACATGCCGGTAGCAAGGTGAAGGACTGTGCGTGATTCACTTACAATGTTTCCTGTCAGTTATGGTATCTAGGTTTATACTACCATGTACACTGGACATTTTTCATCTGAACACCAAACCATTTTCATAATCATCAGAAAACTCCGATAAAGGCAGAGTCCTTTCTTAGTCTGTCTCACGGTCCCTGAACCACATTATTTCCCCTACTGCCTGGCCCTCCCTAAAGTCCTAAATGAAGCAAATCTAGATTTCCTCAGGTTCTGAATTTCCCATCTGACTTGGGCTCATGTTCAATTTAAATGGGTTTATGTTACTTTCAAAATTATATATATTCAGAGACTAAGCCTTAGTCTAAGCTCTATCTTCGTTTCCAACTTTATTATAGTTCGCTTGTGTACCTCAGAGGTGCAATGTCCAAGGTTATCAAAAGGTGTATAAGGTGTATCTCTCCAATCTCTGAATCCATTTGTTTGGTGTTGTTTAGCGCTGCGCCCAGTAAATAATCCAGGCTGGGCAATCCGGTGGCTGACATCATGAGCATCGATCTACGCCATTGGGATACGATGACATCTGTTAACCAAGTCAGCGAGCCTGTCCACCCGATCCCGTAGTCGCCTCTTACGACAAGCGTGGGTTGGTAAAAATGTGTATACTTGTGTATACGTATCAACTGTATACGTATTCGTCTGTCTATGTTCTGCCTATCTAACCACCTTGTGTCTGTCCGCCTACATAAAGCCTTGACAATACCTGTGTATCTGCATATGGGAAATATATTATAATATTCCGTGCTAACCATCAAATTATAATTCGGCGGTTATATGAACCAACGATCTACGCATTCTCGCGTTTCCTTTACCACACCACTTCGACTTACGGGTGAAACATATGTGAAGCGACGTTAAATGTAAACTCTCCCACTTTAACAACACATTGCTTAGGAGAACAGCACCTACAGTATCGCCTCTAACCTCAATACAATACATCTTCACCCACTGCATTTCATAACACTGATAATGAAGTCAAGACACGTCCAATCTTCATTGTCTGTGTACGACACTAAATTACTGGCGAGTAATACTGCGACTTCACGCTGTGATCTGTGCAACTCTTGCCTCACACACTGCCTATCTAGTCAGCTTCTTGCTTCAACATAAAATATTTAGTACGCCAAGCACAGATACGTTTGGTTTTTTTCTGTCGAAGAAACTAGGGGCAAATTAGGTTTGGATGAAAATTAAAGTTTTTTCTCTGCTTAAATGAGGTCGCAGCGACACTCAAGCGAATCTGGATGACACAGGTTTGGTGGCAAAGACCAAATAAATTGATTCCGCTATGCTTGGAGTTCCCAATGGACCATAAGTCACTGACTCTTACGATAACAAGTCTAAATTTAATCTATTTTAAAATGTTTTAGTAAGATATAATTACATTGCTCAAATTGTATTATCGAGAAAAACTATCTAATTTACTCAACTGTATACGTGAGTTGCATCCCAAATATATGTATTGATTGCCGGGGAAACGAGCCGTTTAGAGGATTAGAATTTCATGGGAAACGTTTACCATCAATCCATGTTCGGAGACACGATGCCTCGACTGAAGAATATATCTAGCCCGGTTTGATCATGTTAACTACAAGTTGGAAATGACGTTAATTTTTGAACGGTAAAATCTAGTTTTCTCGCTCAATATACTAAATGACACGTTTGTGAGTTTTTTAGCAATAAGGTTTAACGGTTTTCCCTAGGATAAGTAGATTCGAAGTCTTTTATTGACAACATGAGAGTTAAGTCCACTTATTTCAATAACGCAATTGAGTGTGATTGAATCAAATGCTGGAACGTGCCTTTTGTGAGATATGTGGATAAGGTATAGTCAAACTATTTTCAAAAAACGTCAGTAGACTTTTAACTTATATACCTACATGTAGCATGAACTAGTTGCAGTTACATACTAACAAAACGATAATGCCGAACTTGTCGAATCCGGTTTGACGTGCGTACATACCTTTGAAAGCTGGATGTGGATAGTGTTGAAGCAGGGGTCTGTGGTTGAAATGAGCATCGTAGCATGGCTTCATGCTGGACCTGATGAAGAAAGTAAAAGTTAGAGTGACACAGAAGCACACGGCCATATAGGAAGTAGAGGGGTATCGTTTTAAGCCGCTTTTAGCAGTACTCCAGCAATGTACAATACCTCTTTCAAAGAACACAGTGAATAGGTTCAACACATGTATCCATATGGGAAATCAAACCTGGATATTCGTGGTGACGAACGAACGCTTTAACCACTAGGCTACCCCATCGCCCCAAATCAGACATAAAGTGAGCGTTTTTGTTTAAAGCCGCTTCAAAAGTTCGGCTATTTAAAATCATGTCAGGATTTCGCTGAAGGAAAATCCAAATGTGATGCAAACCATGAGCATTTAATTAAACCATCAAACACGGACCTGGCGCCATCAAACCTAAGATCATGGTCGGGCAGATTCAAACTCGCGACCAGCGCATCCGCATGAACCCGCCGCCACAGCGAATGGCTACGCCTTCCGTGACTTTAGTTTGTTGTGTGTGTTGGTCACAGCTTGAGGTGACAAGAACATGTATAGGTTCACCATGGATCATATAATTTTTGATGAACATGTGTTACTGTCAATTTCAATATTACACAACCTTTTCACACTCGGAGATTCGTCAGTCGGTCATAAACAATGACTAACAGCAGGAGTATTGTTTCCGTGGTTCTTAGTTCCACTTACCCGTCAAACATCGGGAAGAATCCAGGCCTTGATGCTGAGGCCACAAGGAGCGACTGCGAGAACGGAAGATGCCCCGCGCTCACTTTAGCGAAGAAGTCTGATTGTGGCAATCCAAGAGACGGCATACCGCTGACCGATGTCTTCAGACCTGCTGGGGAGGAAGGCTCACCAGACGCCAGGGAGTCGAACTCAGACGAGGTGGGTCTGTTTGTATCCTCCTCTGTTTGTACCTGTTGTCTGTCGTCTGTTGTCGTGCTCCTGTCGTCTGCCCCTTCGTGGTCGTCTGGTGTCTCCCGCCCTTCTGTATCAGACACACACAAATCCCGTCCTTCACCTTTATTCTCCCGATCAGACTCTTCCGTATCGTCTTTGATCACAAGGTTTTCTGGAATGTCACTAACATCTTGAGTTTCTGTACAAACAATAGGCTTAGACTCTAAAACGGGTGATGCTACAACTGAAAGTTTCGTTTCCTCAGCCACAGTTATTTCCCCTGTCTCGCCCAATGTGTCCTTCACCTCCTCAAGATCTTCCGGTCTCTCAACTTCCTGTCCAACCTCCACACCTATATCGGTGTCACTATGCTGTTCTGACTCCTCACCCCCGGGCATGTCACCCTTGCCCCCTTGAGGTTGTTGTTGTGCAAATCGTTCACTCTTTCTCCACTTGGCGCGCCGATTCTGGAACCACACCTGTGTATATAAAAAGATTCACGATGAAGGCAAGCTACTTTACTTCAAAGAACACAGCAATCGATGATTTTACAAAATAGAAAATTTCAAAATAAACCACGAACGTCTTACATCGAACAACACAGCAGTGTTACGAAAATACGTAAGACACCAAATAGAGAAATACGTCTGACTGAGTTTGACTGAGTTTGGTTTTACGCCGCTTATAGCAATATTTCAGCAATATCACGGCAGGGGGACACCAGAAATGGGCTTCACACATTGTACCCATGTGGGGACTCGAACCCGGGTCTTCGGCGTGACGAGCCAACGCTTTAACCCTTAGGCTACCCCACCGCCCCCAGAAAACTACGTCGTTGTAGGCAGCAGTCGTTGATGATGGAGAACTACCTATTTACGACGGGACAGTGTTCATCACTAAACAAAATCGCTGTAAAAAGGAAATTTAATAAATAAGGAAAGAAATTTATATAATCAATTAGGTCTGAAACATTAAAAAGTGTGAATGTGGGAATTCCAAGTAGGTGTTTACATCCTGATGTAATTTGTTTCCATCGCGAGGCAAAATGTGTGGACATCTTATGTGATTCAGTCGATTTACTGGACGGACGTGTGACAAGCTCCCGACAGCGTGTTGGTGAGTGGACTTTGCTAATATCAGTATGCGCAAGGAAGGCTCACCGTCCTCGTTCAACACAACATCCATTAATGTTTGGTAAATAACGAAAAAGAACGAAAACCGTACATTACAGTAATATACAGATGTGTATTGAGTCAACAAAAATACTTTTAAAACACAAAGCAAAATTAATTGTTTAGTTATGTCGCGACTTTTTAATGGTTCCTGGACAACATAAATTTTGACTGAAGTAATTTATTTTCATGTCTACGTATTTTGGATGTATCACAACCTTAGATTTGACAGAGGCTACAATGTGTTGGGAGGTTAACACTAAAGCAAGATATTTCATGGATGAATTGGGTTAGGGTTTTCTGGAATCAGTTCCTGCCGAGTCTTCACCTCGAGTCATACAGAGATATGTAGAACAGACACGTTTCTGAGGTGTACATATAGTATTGTCTCTAATTTTAGAGCCAAAACATGTATTTCATCATGTCAGAAGTCAAATCTTTCATGTCCAGTTTTTTAAATAATATGTCTAATAATGTTCAGACAAATATTTCAGTTTTTTTCCTGTAATTTAAGACAGACAAATTCTTTTGGTCAAAAACGGATCCAAAACAATTCTTTCTTGGGTGTTTTTCTCGAATATATCTTTGTGATTTTCTGAAAAGAAGTGCGTACGAGAACTATTCGGAAAAGAAAGGAGTTCGACACAGCCAGATGGCTGGGTATCCAGGTCACACCATAACAGGGTCACGTGCTTGTCGTTTTACGAATCCCTTTCACGGCATTAGCCCTGACATGTCTGCTGTACAATAGGATCATTTTCTAAAGACGTGGCGTGACAAAGATTATGCCAAAATGTCACTTTTGTTGACTCTTAATTTATTGATTTGTGCCAAGGAAAACTGGATTTTATCCCTTTCCGCGCGTCCTCCCGTGGGCAGTTCCACTCGCGTCATAAGTCTGTGTATTTGTCTCCTACCTCCAAACAACCCGATTCGCGGTCTCTCACAAAGCGCTTCAACTTCTCATCCAAACAGTCACGTGGCCCGTACCTTTCTCAGCCAAATCCCCAAATCGATGTAATTAGGTTTAATCTGGTTGGTACTGTCATCGGGCAATATTTCATGTGCTCAAAGTCTGATCGGTCTTGATGGGTATTTGTCCCTCAATTTACAAATGCATCTTGCTCATTAATTAGCCATTACCTTCTAATTTAATCAGCGATCTTTTCCATTGTCATTATGGCGATTACTTCTGTTTCGCCTTCTTGTTTATTCTGACGACTGTGAAGAAGTTCCAAGGATCCTTAAGTTCCACCGGGGTCTAACGTGAGATTGCAGTGAACAGTGCGGAGAATTCTAACACGGAATGGTAGACCAAGTGAGCAGGCGTGAAACGGAGAGGAAATAAAGCCATTTGGCTGACAAAACCACCTCCCTTCCTTCATCAAACATTAAAGAGTAGCTTGAGACATGTTTTTAGCCTAATCGAATCAAACGAAGTCAGTTTGTCAATTTTATTTTGAATTAAATTCAGGCGTTGGTGTTGTGTGCTTCCACATCCGGGCACTGAGGCAAAGTAACTGTTTCTTCCAACGCATTAGCTGCGTTTCGCTACCGCAGAGAAAAGCTCTTGTCAATCCAGCGCGCTCAATACAGGGGGGCTAAAACTTTTTAAATTGAGTTAATCTATTTGATTAAGACACAGCGAGGATGGTGAGTCGTCCTTCCGCGCATCCCGACACTAGCTAAACTCCACACACCAACACGCTGTCAGGATCTTGTCACACGTTCAACCAGTAAATCGAGTGAATCACATAAGGTGTCTACACATTTTGCCTCGCGATGGAAACAAATTACATCAGAGCGTAAATACCTCTTTCAACATCCCAGATTTACACTTTCTAATGGTTCAGATCTAATTGATCATATGAGATAAGTCGAGGAGAACATCGTCTTAACTCTGTTTATTCACATGAATACGTTTTTGCATGGTCACTAGGTGCTACCATCATACCGTGTCTAGAAAGGACCCCACTGAATAAGGAGGGTATCGGGTTAAAGAAATAATGATATGGGGTATATGTGAAGGAATACAGTTTTTTAGAGTGAGTGAGTGAGTGAGTTTAGTTTTACGCCACTTTTAGCAATATTCCAGCAATATCACGGCGGGGGACACCAGAAATGGGAATCACACATTGTACCCATGTGGGGAATCGAACCCGGATCTTCGGCGTGAGGGGCGAACGCCTTAACCACTAGGCTACCCCACCGCCCCAGTTTTTTAGAGGAAATATTGGAAGCATGATAAAGGTTTTGTTTGTTTGTTGTTTACCGCCGCACTCAGCAATATTCCAGTTATATGACAGCGGTCTGTAAATCGAGTCTGGACCAGACAATCCAGTGATTAACATCATAAGCAGTATGATGACATGTGTCAACCAAGTCAGCAAGTCTGACCACCCAATCACGTTAGTTGCCTCTTACAAGCATGGGTCGCTGAAGACCAATTCAAACCCGGGTCGTTACGGGTTTTCTGAGAAAGAATAGCGCTTGTTTGAAATGAAAAGCGACATTCTGACGCGGAATACACGAATTATGAGAAAACATATCGAATTCATCAGAAGGATTGTGAGCTCACCAAGAAGGAATAGCGTAAATTGTGTACATGTATTTATAATGAGAAATGTGGGTTTTATAACATGAAATAACCTAATTATGAAAAGTAATATCGGATATATATGAAGGATGATTTTAATACAGGAATGTCGTATTTAACAGTATTGTCACTTGGAAGAGGAACACCTATATTCATGTGGAAGAACATCGTACCATCTGGTGTTCAATCGATTTTGATGGTTTGGCGATCTCAAGAGAGTTGAATGCATTACCCTACAGCAGGTACCCAACTGCGTACTTAAACTTATAGATGTTAAGGTCTTCTATACTCATGCGGGGTGGTGGGGTAGCCAAATGGTTAAAGCTTTCACTCGTCACGCCGAAGATCCGGGTTCGATTCCCCACATGGGTACAATGTGTAAAGCCCATTTCTGGTGTCCCCCGCCGTGATATTGCTGGAATATTGCTATAAGCGGCGTAAAACTAAACTCACTCCCTATACTCATGTGTATCAGTTCTAAATGTCATTTAAAGAATTTACTATTCAAAAAGTACTCCCTGAATTATATTTAGAAAACTATGACTTATTCTATGTTCATGTGTATCAAGCCTTTACTAATTCTTAAGTAGTCCTTAGATTTTATTGAGACATTAGGGTTTCAAGTGTATTGTAAATTTATTCAGATATATTCATGTGTACTTATGTCTTTTATATGTATCAGTGGATTTTAAAACTGATACTGGTCACCTTGACGATAAATCAATGCGGTTCGTAATGTAACGCAGCTTTTACTTGAACAGATCTCGGCAAAAAGTTAATCTTCTTTCATCCTATTACCAGAACGTAGTCCTTTTCGAGTCCTCTCTAACACTATCAAAGACTTGGCTCCTCTTATTCTAATGCGTAATCTTAAAGGAAAACTATGACCCATTTAGTCTAAATGAACCAAATTAAAGGAGGTCGTGATGCTGGGCAAGGTTGTACGCCATTTGAGTAATATGACCGTATACACGGGTGCCTTTGGGAATTGCATACACGTCTTTGTGACGACCAAATATTTTAACGTTTTACAAATCTGAAGTCATCGTTTACTCGGGCCATTACGCTATCGGTGACAGAAAATCCAGTTCTATTTTTGACATGTCGTAGATGGGTACCCGATAGAAAGGTGTGGATATATGTGTACCATTCTGACGCCGTATCATCGATATTTGGCAATGATGCTTCATGGAATGTTTGAAGAAACCCCAGTTGCCTTACGTGTAATATTGCATGGCACCATTTGTTTATACAGTGGCATTTCTTTAAAACGAAATTTGACTTTGAACAATGTATCGAATTGAGAACCGGAGTGTCGATACTGGGACCTAGCGTAAATACACATTCTGCCGCAGCTATACATACTACTCACAAGAACTTAAGAACACCCATTCTTTCATATTACCATAGTAAATGTGTCATGTCATGACAGATATTAAAGAAATCGGTGGTCTTTAAGTCTTGTGAGTAGCATAATTACATTGTGTCAATGTAAATAGCAACATGTATATTGCTGGTTTATAATTAATATACGAAATACATGTGAGTAATATTTACTACAATTGATTAAAGTTGGCTTGTCAAAAACAGTGTACAAGTATCAGTGCTAGTATTTGTAAGTTCTGACCTGAACACGAGCCTCTGTGAGATTAATGCGCATCGCCAGATCCTCGCGCATGAATACATCTGGGTAGTGGGTCTGTGCAAAGGCTTTTTCAAGTTCCTCCAGCTGCGAGAGATAAGAACATCATGAAAAGTGATTTTACTTGCCTTGTTTACGAGTTACGAATCATACCATTTTACACGATGCATCTACGTTGTCGCCATGACACTCGTTTCAGTATACTTCACAAAAGGCGGTGGGACAGCCTAGAGGTTAAAGCGTTGGTTCATCACGCCGAACACCCGGGTTCGATTCCCAACATGGGTACAATATGTGAAGCCCATTTCTGTTGTCCCCCGGAATATTGCTAAAAGCGGCGTGAAACCATATTCACTCACTATACTCCACAAATAACGTAACCGTCTAAAACATGGATCATTGTCAAACTAAATGCTTAAAGAGAAAGAAGTGATACACATAGCTTCATAGTGTAAAATTCACAACTGACAACGGAAGTTGACCTACCTGTTGTAAGGTGAAGGTCGTTCTGTTGCGACGCTGCTTTCGCCGCGCAAACGTGTCATCATGGAGATCTGTGTGCAGACCATATGCCGGATCTGTAAACAAAACACGTATACATAATAAAAGTAATAATGATTACATGAAACAAATTAATTCATTAGTTTAAAGAAGTATTATGATGTAATTGTAAAGACACCTAGCAATAAACATGTTATGAGGAGTTGTCGCCGATAAGATTTTGCTGAAACAGTGAGCTGATGCAATATAACGTCAAATTTGGTAATTTTTCAACCATATTGGCACGCCAGAGATCGCATGTGGTTATTAGGCATGGGTATTTTTTACATGTAAAGGGAATTGAACCTGGGGATTCGGCTCGAAGAGCAAATGCCAAAACGGCTGCACTACTACCCATCTCTATAGTCTGTTTGCAGTGAAAACGTACCGATGAATGTCACTTTAAACCAAAGAGTAAAACAAATAAAGTGAAATTAAGACTGCGAGTCCTCATGATTTAACTTGCCAATTGAACATTTAAATCTCAGAATTTCATTCGACTTAGGATAAAAGTTGTTTAACAAACGATCATAGTTTCACATGGCTATCATTGGTTTGTATTACAAGGGGGTATGTACATCAAATGAAACACCGAAAACGACAAGGGTTGTTATAAGTTAACCCTCTTCACGTACCGCACGTGCATTTGTTTAACTGTTCCAACTACTGCGCTTACCCCCTTGTAATACAAACCAATAATAACGATTTGAATCTATGATCGTTTGTTAAACAAACTTTATCCTAATTTGAATAAAATTTTGAGATTTAAATGTTCAATTGGCAAGGTAAAATCATGAGGATTCGCAATCTAAATTTCACTTTATTTGATTTACTTTTGTGCTTAAAGTGAAATTCATCGGTACGTTTTCACTGCAAACAGACTATAGTGACGGGGAGGTTTATCAAATATTGCACATCGCTATTTCATATGCGCCAAATGGCAAATGACCCTCAGAGGACTGTTTGTACAAAGGCCTCTAGTCTAGACCAATATGTGTGGCCATGTGAGGAGCCGAGGATAGCTTAGGTAACACGATGACATTTGGTGTTCCAAATACCGTGATTTGATATTACAATTTATCAAGTTGGAGGCCACTTCATACATTAATCAGTCTTTACGAATATTCAACAATAATTATGCCGTTTATGACAAAACGTCAAATATCTTTAGAAAATATGCTATTAAATCAGCACTTGCGATAAATCGCTGAATGAGTGTCGGAGATGCATGGTATGGTAAGGAAATCTCATTCAAGACCTGCCTCTAACCCAATCCACCGTTATGATAACGCTTCTGTTCTCTGATTGTGCCCAAATCACTTTTAGATACCAGGTAATCAACTAATTCTCACTAAACGAGTCTAACAAATCAAACTAATTTGTGACCCAAAACCTAATATTCACGCAAAAAGAGGCACAAATGACATTCTGTGATTTTTGCTACCTCTCGGGGCGACAGGACGCGACCAGGGGCAGTCGGGAAGAGTCGTGCCCCGAATCTTGACGGTTGCCATTGTGATAATTGCCCGTCAAGACTAACGCTATTACAGCCAGTACTCGCTACCATATTAGGATTATTAATAGCACTTCATTGTTGGTAATTGCTTTGAAGAAAAACTGTGATCGAAGAAGAAAAGAAGCGAAGCCGTACACAATGCTCCTAATGAGCTTACAGTTGGGTTAATATACTGTCGAAATGGGCGTCAAATAAAAATAAATGTCATTTCTTTTAGTGATGGTCCCAGACGCAAATGTCCCAAGGTGTCTCGAACGCCGGAAGCGGAAATAGTCGCAATGCCTTCTGGTATATTTCATTGTCGTAACTAGAAAAATATACTTGAAAGGAAAAAATAAGAAAGTTTGAACAATTAGCCCTTGACAGTTGTTAGTACGGCGGGAGTAGGTTAAACCATACAACTGACGGACCAGTCAACGGCTTCAAGGTATGTGTTTGAACTTTAATAATGACAGGAAAAAACGCATTTAACAGTTATCCCCCGTCTCAGTTTCACCGCTAGAGGGCGTTGATCTGATTCTTGTCATCCTCGTAATTAAGAACAACTTGACTCATGCTTTTTCATTCTTTGTCTTTGAAACAATTTAAACAATTGGAAGAATACCATTGTCACAATTTTAGGAATTACATCAATCATTCTGAAACTGCTGCAGCCAATGGCGATATTCTGCCAAGAAGAATGTGTTACACAATGAAAGGTGTTATTCGTTTGTAGAAACTGACATAAAAGTTAAAATATTAGACCCGTATTTTATTCATAAAAAACGAATGATGATTTAGAATTGAATATGACGCAAAAACATAACACTTTAACATATTCCTATCAAGCAAATTAGGCAAAATGCATACAGGTAGCTGCTGTGGAAAGTGTTTTTTTCCTTGAAGCATTCCATGCGGGAATTATAAGAAGTATGTTTCCAGTTATCACACATTTTAGTACAAAATACAAATAAACGGATTTCGAAAAAAAAGGAGATTGAAAGATCTGACATAATTATTTTTATGATACGACTAATGATTCTACTTTGAAGTTTATATTATGATTAGCGTTCAATAATAAAATATCTACCTCACAGAGAAATATCATATTACAGGACTTTTCGTAAGATATTTCATACTGGTTAGATATATACAGTCGCACAAGAGCTTTATGAAATTATCACCTCATTCAGAGACATCATAGGAAATGAATTAAGCTTTCGCGTATCCATTATATGCACAGTTTTCCCCTCAATGTTACATAGTTACTTTACAATAACTCGTTACATATCCCTTTGGAAATATAGTTTTTGAACTTGATAATAAAATCGTGAATATTTATATTTTTCATTATTTTTAAAAATTAATTAACGTACATATATGGTTAATTGATGCACTGACGATTTTAACACTTAAAAACACGCTAAATGTCATAGTGTATTTTAGACACTGTGAGTCTATTTGTATGAGGCGAAGTATGTGTATACACTACATTGTGCAATAAGCCTATATATATCGTGAACTCAGTACCACATTCTAAGACGTCACTATTCTATGTATACATCGAAAAATTCAGATCTTTTCATCTCTCCTTTCATTAGGACGATAAGGGTTTAAGAAACCATTATTCCAAGAATTTGGCCCCGGTGCCTAAGGAAACTTATTCCTAACAACATACGCCGTTTTACTCATCTAATAATGTACCAGAATAATAAACCCCTTCAAGACACACTTAGCATATAGAAATTGTTTATTTCGCGAGAGTATATAGACGCACTCAAACGGCATAAAGCATTTGTTTCCGCAATCGTCGCGCTAACCAGAGGAAGTCCTCCGTATCGATTGGAAAAGCTAATGCTGTCTTCCTAACAAGTTATTGTAGTTAAAAACACACAGCAGTCAAAAGATGCCACTTCGACAGCAAAAAAACAACTACGGAGGACATTAGGACGTCAACGCTTTTGTGTATGTTGCCTTAACGAGAAACGACCGAACTAAGTAGAAAATTAGCAGAAAAACTGCTCGAACAGAGCTTTCACCAACACATTAATGAATCAAATAGCATTTCCTTTCCGGCGAGTATCGGCAATTATCAGCTTACAAAGACTAAAATACCCACACCACGTTCGGATATTTCTTGTAACAACAGAAGCGGAGCGTCCCCAACTACCACACAAGGTTCTTAAACAGATAAAATAGAATTATATCATCATTGAATTATTTCTGGCTTAAAAAGCCCTTTCCTTGCGTCAGAGTGTCCATTAGGGGCCCGGTATAATAAACTTAGAGATAATTATGTTCTCTCTGGCATTGTCGTGCCTTTTGATCTCGCCTTTTGCCCACGGAGATTGTCGAAGGATGCCGACTGTCGAGGTTTTCGGGGCAACAAGAACTCTCGCCTTCTGACTTAGTTCTTGACAAGAAGACAACACAAGAAGGAGTCGCTTGTATGGTGAAGCTGAATGAAATCACTTATAAAATAAACAAATTTACTCTTTGTGTTTATCCGATATGAGCCGGTTATGTTTTCTATGGTGTGTGGGTCTTTATTTGAATGGCTGTAACAACATGTAAATATAAGAAGTCATGAAAGACAAAGCATTAAAGCACGGGCTGATGGGCGCTGTGTAATCGCCTTCAGGAGGTCTAGAAAAACATGCTAGATCAAACAACGGTAATGCTATAATTACAGCCCGATCTCAGGGTATTTGGTAAACCTATCCTAACCTTATTGATATTGATGGAATTTTTTTGACAGTTTTTCGCCACGGAATTCAAGAACGGCTGAAGTACTTACACTGCTGAAGACTGTTGACCTTGATAGCCACAATACCATTGTAAACTTGCTTTTAGTCGGGTTAAATTATTGAACTGAACAATGTAATGTGATGGCTGAAAAGTCTGATGATTATGAAAAAGCTTGCACATGAAATACACAAAAATACAAAAATCTAACTATACTATGTCATTCTTTTGAAAAATAAATATATAACTTGTCGTTATATCATGCCAGAAAGATGTAGATACTAGCGGCACTTGATATGATGTAGTACGGATAGTACGAATATATTTATATGGATATCTCGACGTAAATGTGGATTGCAATGTTATTAGCTATGAACATATTGTTTGACGCCGCATTCAACAATATTCCACTTACGTGACGGCGGTGCGCAAATAATCAAGTCTAAACAAGTGAAAAGGTCTAACGATTAACTTCAGAAACATCGACCTGCGCAAACGGGTTACAATTATATGGATCTTATGTGTTTAATATTACCCCATATAGAGTAAACACTTGCACCATATGCTATATCGATGATTGCATCTTAATGTTGTGAGCGAAACCTTGTTTTTCCTGAAACCCTACACTCTGGACAATAAGTAAGGGCTATTGGGGCTCAAAGGTTTGTACAGTTGGTCGGATGTTGGGTCCGCAAGGCATCCAGTGAACAAATAAAATCATCTTTTGCACGTATGTGATCATGGTTTAGGGTGTTATCATTAGTGGAATGCATGTGTGTGTGTGTGTGTGTGTGTGTGTGTGTGTGTGTGTGTGTGTGTGTGTGTGTGAGAGTGTGAGAGAGAGTTTGAGAGAGAGAGAGAGAGAGTGAGCCAGTGTTTGTGTGTGTGAGAGAGAGAGAGAGAGAGAGAGAGAGAGAGAGAGAGAGAGAGAGAGAGAGAGAGAGAGAGAGAGAGAGAGAGAGAGAGATGAGCATTGCAGCGTCGGGTTGTCAGTCAGTTGTGCATATACATGTATACTGACAGTGGGAAGTAAGTAGACGTGCAGACACCACATAGATGGCTGGCCGAGATACACAAGCAGACTGGTGCACCATCTGAAGGTCGTCAGCCCTGAACAGCCGACACATACTGCATAGAAGATGAAGGAATATAGTGTATAAAGGGTGAGAGTGGGGGGCTGCGCCGGTGATTTGGGGATATAAGGAGGGTGGGAAGATGATGAAAGAGGGAGATGTTTGAGTGGGTGATATAGTGAAAGGGGTGACTGAATGAGGAAGTCGTGAGTTGCTGGGGTGAGTGATTGAAAGAAGGACCGGGTCGACATGTGCTTGGGTAGGTGAGTGAGGCACGGTGTTGCAGTCAAAGGATGGTTGAGGGAGTGAGTGAAGGGGTCGACAGGTAGTGAATAGGAATAGGTTTCGACGGTAGGAACTACCCAGAGGAACTAAGGGAAAGCAATAAAGAGGAGAAGTGGATATGTCGCTGTGTGAGAAGTGGATATGTCGCTGTGTGAGAAATGGATATGTCGCTGTGTGAGAAGTGAAAACGAAGAGTAGAGGGCATGTATGTGTTGGGGGGAAGGTCTGGAGGGTAGGGGTAAGTATGTGGGGTGGGGAACTGAGATGGCGCGTTGGTGAGAGTGTGCGAAGTTATGAAGTGTGAATCGGTGTAGAATGAGTGAGTGAATGGGCCAGGGAAGTTTGGAGTGAGTTGCTGTTATGTCAGTGTAAGACTCCGAACCCGGCGAAGCTGACAGAAAACCAAGTAGCATTGACGACGATATCTAGAGTTAACAGCCAGTCGGTGTACTCACATGGTGTGTGTGGCTGGCAGCTGTAGTCCAGCCCCAGGGGTCGTACTGCCGGGTGGAGCGACGGTGGGCAGTGAAAACAGGGAAACATGTTGCCAGTCAGGCCTCGGTTGGAGTTGGGAAAAATCTGAAACCAAAGGCAGAGATGAGTTACAAGCACATGTACATCTGCATCTAAACATCTCAGCAAAACAAGCAGTGGTAGCTATCATCTTATCTGATTTCGTTTAAATCACATCCTGAATTATAAAACGTGACATTCTGCTTAAAACAACGTTTACCTTTGTAGCTCTACCTTATTGAATAATTATGAAATATGCTCTTTTTCATATCAAATGTTAGAATAATTATAGTGTGAATCAAATATCGATGTACGATATATATCAGAGACAAATAACACATATGCCTACACGTTCACATTTTTATTCTTTTCTGGCAGAATTTCTGTAATTCTCGGTGTTTTCTTGTAGATGCATTAAACCCACAGCAAATACAGAAATAAACATTTCCTATGTCAAATAGTCATTGTTAATCGCCCGAAATCAATACATGAATTATTCATCAGGGAACAAAGGGGCCTTGTGGTAACAGGTTTGAAACTGTTTCCCAATCGACAATAAATCCGAGAAAAAATTAATGCCTGTATTTAAAACAGGTAACATTCTTCAAATATATCCTATTGGAGAGACATATTGTCGGTCATAAAAAAAACAGATCCGGGGTTTTCGTGTTTTATTTTATCCAGTCGTGTGCAGTCAAATGGTCCACATCTGAATACATGGATTTCGCTATGGCCTTACGTGTTGACAGTTTCCCGAAGCCTTTGAGGTAATTATAGAAGCAGTTAGCATTTCCCGGATCTCACACCTGAGCCAGAGGACGGCCCACACCTGGAGCGAAAACTAGCACCAAGTCCGTCAACCCAAATATTGAGTTTCCAATGAGGAAGTTGGAATAATTGATGTCACACGACGGTAACATATGTGTTAAATTCTATCAGCCGTGTTAGGAACTGTATTGTATATTTCAGCTGTGATTGACACTACTGGATACAATGTTGCACACCTGTGATATTCGTATAGTGACAGGTGAAGTAAGAATTAGGACGGAGCGTATAAACAGATGCAGTCAAGGTATAATTACCTGCACTAATTCATTCAACAAATACAGTTACACTTGGTAGTGTTTCGTCGTTTTACTGTTATCTTTGTTGATAACAAGATAATATAAATACATGTTTCTAAATCCAGTTCATATTTCAGTCAAAAATAATGTAACAAAGTATTACGTTATTTTTTAATTTTTATTTTACTTTAAAATGTGGAATCTTCCTATAAAATTTAAATGTTTATTCGACATTCTTAAATGGAGCATGTTAATGTTTATCCCGTTTTTAAATTTAGTATCATTTGCACACATATTCGTTTTGCCCGAAAGTAAATCACAGAATCAGTAAAGTGATCACAGAAACATCGGTGTGATCGCAACATGGAGTATGAATGATCATATGATGACTGCTGTTTTTAGGTTGAATTTGCCACTAGGGACTGAACCGGTAGGAAGTTTTTTCTGGTTTTTTTATTTGTGCAATATATCAGCACGTATGGATCCCAAATGTTAACCATTGATTTAAGTGTATGATGTATTGCTATGCCAAATGTCTGTTGCATGATTCTGCAAGACGGAGATGTTAGAAATAGGCAAACCCGCTGATGAAAAACGCTTATGTTTCACAATAAATAAATATATATATATAATAATATAATATCTTCATATTATAAGTGAGCTGCGATTGGCGTAAACCGCCAGAGGATACACGCATTATTTGATAGATAACAATATATCCACTCACATTGTGCTACTTGCCCACAAGTGTAAAATCAATAATTATTTATGAATATGCTGCGTGTATACGTGAAACGCGAAAAGTAACGGAACAGTTGTAACCATAGATCCCTTCCTTTAAATATATCCCAACTGTATTACACAGTTGAACAGTTTAAGAAGAACAGTTATGCGTATACCTTTCATGCCAACATTTTGTTTTAATTTGAATGATAGTAATTAAAATTTCGTGAATGTTAAAATTACATCATATGATTGTTAGTCTGAAGGGGGCTGCATACATTCCTTAAACACAACTTTGGGAAATTAAGCATCAAGTATTCAAGCATCTTCAAGAATCAGTCGTATATCAACTAATACATTAAACTTTACCGTTATAGCTGCAGAACAAACAGCTGTTCGTGTGTGGTCTCGTTTTAGATAACTATTCCTCTGTGGTCGCCACCTTATTTGACATATTTAGGACATGAAATACAATATTTCAACATTTTACACACATTAAGGAAAGAGCAGTTAATAAATTAAAACTATAAATGTGAACACATTGGTTTCTTATTCGTGAGATATATTCATAGGATTGTATGTCACATAATTATCTTAATAATACTGATTTGGATTTGCCTTGGAGACACTGTCGCAAATTTGTTGAGTACTTTCGTCTTTATAATAGCATCATATTTCATTATTATGAGATACTTGAAATACTAGAAGTGTATTACATACTTGAAAAAGAGAGAAATTGATTAATCTAATCCGGAAAAATATCGTAAACGATTTTTAATTTCATTTTAGAATTTTTGATGTAAAATAAATCTAAACTGACTCGGGTTATTTAATAAAGACTGCAGAATTAATGACATTTTTATAACAATTTGGAGCTGAATATTACCGTAATTTAAAACTCGTTAAAATTAGGGGGAAAAAATCAGAATATTCTAGTATATGGCTAGAAATGACTCTTTGGCTGGGATATATGATACCAAATCACAGAACTACTTTGGAAGTAAATTGTGATATTCACATGAAAACCAACTTTTATAGCAAGATTTTTTTATCAGTATTTTGGTGTTTCGAATATTTATTTTAGGTAGCTAAAATGATATCTAACATTTTGAAGACAGTAATGTGCTGACTCTACAAACGTATAGACTGTTGTTAAGATCCCTAGTTCATAAACTGCCCATCCAAAAATAAAACCAACTGTACACTTGAAAATTGGGTTTGACGTATCAATTACAAACGTTTTCAAAACGTTACTTGACTGAAAATAGTCGCCTAAACACTCCAAACGTGATTTCCCAAACACAACTATAAAGCCAGTATAACTGTACAGTAACCAATTTTAGGGTGTTCATTTTCAACTGCCATCAAACATGGGGTGAACTTCCTTTTTCCGACAGTTTACATGACAACTTTTATGATTTCATAATTATCTCCTATTTTACACATCGTGCAAACTTACATACTGCTCCAAAATAACATAAACACCTTGTAAAAACATTCATATTGAAGATATGAACTAGTTCCTAGTTATCTTCTAAAAACGGACTGATGTCATGAATGGCTTGAAGAAAACTAATCCAAAAATTTAAATGCATGTCAAAGGTCAGCAATGCAAGTTATACGAACATGGCATGTGAGACATTTCAAGTTGAAAAAGGTTTGAAAAGGCATTTCAAACATTAAAACCACTCTTTCCGTCGGCACTTATTCCACAGAATTATACAACAGCTATTTTTAAGATCCCTTTTTAACTAATCAAGTAATGATACCCTAAACGCATACATCATTTCAATGTACATGTTCTGTTTAAAAAACCCACAAAACCAACCATGACTCGGTGTTCTACAAAACAACGTTTTATCATAAATAATGAAGGTAAAACAGATTATTGGAAAACGTAAGGAAAAGGAGCTTTCGAAGATCAAACCTGTTTTGTTTTTTAAATAATTTTAAATAGTACAAAACAAGTAGGCTTACTGACGAGTGCTTGAGATATCTCAATATGTCTTGCCTGATGGCAAATCTGTAGGCGTCTAGGATTCACCCTACGTGTAACGTATGTGCAGTCTAACTTAGATTTTAAGGTTTTGTAGAAGTTGGTGATTTTAATCTTCTGAGTTTGGATTAGACATGCAAAACTTAAGTGACTGAAAAAACCTAAGTCCCTACTGGGTATGAATGGCCTACCGTAACAGCAGTCGCGGCAGAGTGCTTGACAAACGTGAACAACTACCTCTGAGATAACAGCGTTCACGTATTGATTCACATTTAGTCACAATAATATTCATTTGACAGGAAAGTCAGGCTTCTGTTGTTGCAACTTGCAGCACATATACCCTAAACCAACATATAGCGGAAACCAAGCTGCTTAAGTTCAATGTTAATGAATGGATAGTTGAAATATCTGTTAGTTGGGATGTCTGAGCTTTTGAACTCATGATATTTTATTTTTTTTCATATTAAAAACAAGGAGTACTATGCTATAGTCTCACATAAACATCTCAGGTGTAAAATTTTAGATTAAAATGATAACGAAACAACAGTATTTTAAAAATGAAAATGAAAGTTTACGCTTTATGAAACGATCCATCACTAGCGATGATGAAACAAGAAAAGACAGATTTCAAAATAAACAAAACAATCTCTATCACTGACTGGTGGTTTAGAAACTATAAAATCTGGTTGGAATATTTTCCAAATCAAACTATGTACACGGTAGTGCGGATACTCACTGTGTTAAGTCAACCAATGGGATCGTAAAGACTCCTATATCTGCGGTCCTACACCCTGTCGCGTGCGGAGCTCGTGCGGTCTGTTCGTTGACGAGACTTAAACTGACGGTATTATGTCCCTTGCCTGGGCAGCGGGCGACTGGGCCCGCCGGTCGGAGGTAATGCAAGATAGCTTCGCGTAATGTGATTTGGCAAGCATTTGCAAGCGATAGTGGCCTGGGCCTTATCACAAGCCAATGCGCTTTATAGGCGTTTGTTACATCGATGTAATCCCTAACGCCGATTTGGGGCCACTTTTCCTAATTCACTTTACTTGGTGTAAGTCTCAATTAATCAGCTAAATAGAGCAGTCATAATGAGGAATTGCGTTTGCCGCGGGCAAGCCTGCGCTCTCTCACAGAGTCAAATGATTAACCGAGAGCAAATCCGTGGACATGGTAATATAAACATATAACATACCAATTGCGATCACTAGCTGAGGCCAATTTTCAAATTTGTCATCAACGGTAGGTTTGTCTGAGAGCGCGATGGGAGGCCGACATGAGATTACGGCCATAAATATTGATGATGTTAAAGATATTGGTACAGGCGCGGATATCCCCTCACTTTGATTTCAACCAATCCACTGCAATTTTATCACGTGCGAATTGTTGTATTACTCTTAAGGTGATTTCGTTTCCCTATACTTTTCACGTAAATTCATCTTTAAGTGTCGAAACCGATCAAAGGACATGCATAATATATAGGGATGTCAGTCAGGGCCCTTAATGGCGACGTTCAGTGAATCAGAGGCCCTAATGTTTGATATTCCACTGATCAACTCCCCATCGATTTAAACATTGATGTGTACATGTTTTGACACGTGTCATTCGCCTTGCAATAAACACCTGACAGCTATCACTCATGAGGTCATACACATTCTTTAATATTTCATGGACGAAATATGCCGAGAGTTAAAATACAAAATTTTCGAACTTAACACTCATTTAATATCTTACAAGTTAGTTACAAATTAGTGGATTTTTAAAAAAATGGCGAAATCAAAGTTTACTTTTGATCACAATGCATGTACTAGTTATCATAACTAAACAATGAGTTCCGTATGTACGTGTACGTGCACCTGAGTGTGTGTGTCATGTTTAGTCATACAAAGGCAACTTTCACTGGATGATACACAAGGAATA